AGTCGGGGCTTGTCTGTCTGCAGGCCGAGTGTGTGTGTGTGTGTGTGTGTGTGTGTGTGTGTGTGTGCGCAAGTACTCCAGCAGTGGGGAGAATGGCGTTTTCTTTGACCGGCATTCTTTAACGTGACTATCACTTTTTCCCTGCTTCTGTTAGATTCCCTCTCGTCCTTATTTGGATCTGCGTCTGACCTCTCCCACCAGTCACAAGTCAGACATTCCGCAATCGTGTTTGGCTCAGGCTGGATCTCCAAGACTCCCACTGCTGTCTCTGATTGCCTGTTGTACTATAAACTATCCTGAGATATTGCAACAAAAGAACATGGCTGTTTCATTAAGAACTTTTTGTACTAGACCAAAAAATCACTGAAAAGTCAAATGTAAACTTTGTACTTTTTTTTGCCTGTATAAAATGCCACACAGTGTTGCCAAGTCTGCGTTTTACCACGGAATTGGGCTTTACACTGTTGCATCGGGTTGTTTTTTTTATGTTTCTCCATCTGAGGTGATTTATGATGCTCAAAAGTAAATCTAAATTTCCTGAAAGTCCAAAATAGATCCAAACCTGGTTTCATCTTGCGGTCCGATACTGTTTTTAGTGTTTTGCTTGATTGAATTAGTGTGTATAATGTCAAATATCTCATTGAGGAATGACGGTAGATTCCCCCTTGTTAAATAATTGTATGCTAGTTAGGGAGAAACATAGTGCTCAATGTTTGGTAGCTCCGATCTGAGGGTGAGGATGTCCACATGCTCATGTGACTTTGATACTGCATTTCCTTTGCTGTAATTATGTTACACATAGGGAATTTTGTCTGACGTAATGACAGATATTCTTATGAACAGAGAGACAATGAGGGAATGGGAGGTGGAGGAGGACATGACTTCAAGCACACCATTAGTTAATGTCTGATTTCTAGAATGGTTTGTGCAATGTGCATGGTGGGAAATCTAGTGGAGGACGTTTGGAAAGTGTTTTGGAAGGGAAAAAAATTTGAAACTGTGAGTAAATAATGAATAAATCATACAGCAGACACTGAAGAATGCTTCGTTTGACAGGTCAGCAATTCATGTGAAGTGACCCAAATAAGTCAGGCCTGATGTATGAATTAAGTTGTATTCAGTAACAAAATATCAAACATATGTGACCCTGGACCACAAAACCAGTCATAAGGGTCAATTTTTTGGAAATTGAGATTTGTACATCATCTGAAAGCCGAATAAATAAGCTTAAATAAGCTTGTTAGGATAGGACAATATACGGCTGAGATACAACTATTTGGAAATCTGGAATTTGAGGCTGCAAAAAAATCTAAATATTGAGAAAATCGCCTTTGAAGTTGTCCAAATGAATTTCTTAGCCATGCATTAATCAAAGATTAAGTTTTGATATATTTACGGTAGGAAATTTACTAAATGTCTTCATGGAACATGATTTTTACTTAACATCCTAATGATTTTTGGCATAAAAGAAAAATCAGAAGAGTCAGCATCCCTCAAATTCACACAGGTGAATCTGAGGGATGTCTTAGCAGTGTAAATAAATAAATCATAAAAACAGTAATATCGTGAAATATTATTGCGGTTTAAAATAACTGTTTTCGATTTAAAAATGTTAAAATGTAATTTATTTATGTTATGAAAAACTAAATTTTCAGCATCATTACTCCAGTCTTCAGTGTCACATGATCCTTCAGAAATCATTCTAATATGCTGATTTGATGCTCCAAAAAAAAAAAAGAAAAACAAAGTTTCTCATTATCAATGTTAAAAACAGTTCATATTTTGTGGAAACTGGTTCATTTTGTCAGGATTCTTTAATGAACTAAAAGAATTTATTATAAATAGAATTTTTTTGCAACATTATAAAAGTCTTTACTTTAACTTTTGATCTTTATAACGCATGCTTGCTGCACAGTCTTTTGCCAAAATTTTAACCAGTATGTAAGTGACTTTGAGTTTTATTTCATTTGTAACTATTGAATGTATACTATTAATATGCTGCACTTTATATATAATAATAACGTGTTACCAAGAACACTAATGTGTACTATTTCAACAGGAACTCAACTTGGACTGGTTTCCACGCATGCGGGCCATGTCGCTGGTTAGCAGCGATGCCGAGGGCGAACAGAACGAGATCAGGAATCTTCAGGAGAAACTTGAATCCACCATGAAGCTGGTCTCGAACCTGTCAGGCCAACTGACTGAACTGAAAGAGCAGGTGAGTGCCGATGCTTTTGGCCTGATGTCAGAACTTTATGTCCGTAATGCTGACGTGCTAGGCCAGTTCTTCACGCCCCGATGAGGATGAGGTGTAGTCTTGACCCGTTTAGCTGTTGAAATAGACTGCACAGACTAGAATTGGAGTTGGGTGTGAGTGAAACTAGGCCTTCAAGGTCAGTCAGTACGAGTACACAACCTCTACAAGGTTCAATTAGACCAAAGGGCAATGAGTCATTTCTGTCTGTCTTTCTCTTTCTGCCTTCAGCTCGTGGTATTTAAAATGATCTTTCACCTGCGTCACGAGGCCAAGTGTTGTTTCACTTTTATTCAGCCGCATTGTCGTCCAGATGAAGTTCTGTGAACTCGAGCTTGTTTGTTTCCACAGATAAACAGTGTAGCACACATAGATGAATATGATAAAGTGGGTCATTGACTTAGATGCTTAGATGCATATGCGTAATGGGATTTGCTTTCATGTCGTTGATTTCTTGTAAATAGTGTCGAATAAACACCAACTTGAGGTGTGCAGCCACATAAAATGGGAAGTGTCTACAGGGAAGTTGATCTGTTTTTTTTGTACCCCAGACAGGGGGAAAAGGTCATTGTTTGGCTAAAAGAAGACAAAGCAAGTAAAAACCAACAAACTTTCACTATTATCCTGCGTCAATGTGGTGGTTGCACGTGTCAGTAGCAGTTTTGCTTTTCCCTTTCTTACTTTAAACTTGGAAGAGAGAATGATAAGAATTCTTCCCACAAACATTTGAAAATGAAGGATTTGTTTTCCCATTTGTTGATATTTGCTGATAATCTTGGGCTGTGTTTGCAGTCTATGATCTTGTTAAAATATTATAACAGGTTTGTTTGTCTTTTTCTGCTATCATACACTCTGTCCAAGATTCCACATGGGAAAAGTGTAAATAAGACAAAATTAGAAATTAAAAAAATCAAGTAACTGCAATAAAAACAAAATGAAATAAAATAAAATACAAAAAGACTTTCAGGCACCAGAAGCACCATTTATATGAGAATTGTTTAAAAATGATAAGGCCCAAATACATCAAATCCATAGCAAATCTCCACTATAATAGTCTTAGAAAATTAATATACTCATGTTTTTAAAAAAAAATGAATAAATTGATGTATTCCAAAACCTTTTAATCTGCACATATATGCTTAAATGCTTAGCATAATTTACATAAAAGATAAAATATATATTTTGCCTATATATAAAATGACAGTTAATGTAATGCTATCTATCTGTCTGTCTGTCTGTCTGTCTGTCTGTCTGTCTGTCTATCTACCTACCTATACAAACTGTTTCATTTTAATTGTCAATTTTCAAGATGATTATTTCATCCTGTGATCTATTTCACTCAAAGCACTAGTGTAATCATGTGACGTCCCTCCCAGAGTTCCCTCATGTGACCCGCCTGGGGTCCTTTTAATGTAGTGATTCAATCATTTCAGATTTCTTTTACGAATGGGTGTTTTTGGGGTGAGCTTAAATCTAGGCAGGATCTCACGCGGTATTTTAGCTCTAAAGCATTTTGTCTCAGATGTTTATTATTATTTTGCTTGGATTACAGATCAAGACGTGAAAAACTGCAGTTGACGGCTCCTTATATGGAGGAGCGAGCAGTGCCACTTACCTTTAAATGGCTGTGTGATTGTTTAGTAGTATGAGGTACTTCCTGTGGACATCAACTTTAATATACACATGCGTGAGCGTTTTTTGGCTCGCTTTTGTAGCTGTTGAGTCAGAGTAGGGGATTTCGGTACAGACGGTCTGCATTTCTGTGGAACTGTGTACGTGAGCATGAGTGTGTGTTAGTGTATGTTGTAGCTCAGTTACACAACACTGCATGACATTGCTCCAATTGCTCCATTTTATTTTCCAAGTAGCTTTTTATAAGGCAGCACACACACACACACACACCTACAATACACAGACGCTCTTGTGTTATGAGGTCATAACCAAGGCAACATGAACGGACACACAGAATGCATCACTGCATGACATGCCTGATCTGCGGGAGAGACAAACAGGAGATGAGGAAGATTTAAAATGGACAAAAACTTCAGATGTATGTGTGTTTTTTGAATAAGGAAGCAGAGTTACTTTTACATATTCAACTTTAACATATATTTTTACATATTTAGATTTACTATACAGATGTGTGTCTATCTACATATATATATATATACACTCACTCTGAAGAAAAACTGTTATAAAATATGTAAATATAAAAGTAATCATCAGCATATAGTGTCACACACACACTTTTTTGGAATCCATTGTGAATTTATGTCCCAGTCACATTGTCTTGGTTAAATAAACATTACAAAGTGAAAAAAGTGACGTGACATGTGGCCAAGTATGGTGACCCATACTCGGAATTAGTGCTCTGCATTTATCCCATCCAAAGTGCACACACACAGCAGTGAACACACACACACCGTGAACACACACCCGGAGCAGTGGGCAGCCATTTATGCTGCAGCGCCCGGGGAGCAGTTGGGGGTTCGGTGCCTTGCTCAAGGGCACCTCAGTCATGGTATTGAAGGTGGGAGAGAGCACTGTACATTCACTCCCCCCACCTACAATCCCTGCCGGTACGAGACTCGAACCCGCAACCTTGGGTTACGAGTCCGACTCTCTAACCATTAGGCCACGACTTCCCCGTAACCATTAGGCCACGACTTACTTACACTATCAGAAAAAAAAATATCTATTTTATATTTTTACATTAACAATGTAATAAATATTATGTTTATTAAAGCCAAGTATGTTAGTGTTTTTAAGCATTTTACTTTCATTCCAAAATAATAACTCAAGGCAATAACAATTTAAAACAATTTAAATTATTTGTTAACTTATGTTCAGCTATTCTTTTTAATAGTTAACTTTTGTTTAAACTTATTTTTTGAAAATTCAAAATTCAATTAATTGTTGGATTTTTCAGATCATAAGTCATCAAAGATCGGTAAATACGCAGAGATTTGCCAAGCTGATTACTCACTAAAAACTCCCACAGATCATGCTTTCACGCCATTTTAAGTCTTATTTTGAAGTAACAAAGTGTTTATATCTAAGTGTGTGAGTTGTTTACTTACGTTTTTAAAATAGTCTTCCTATTAACGCCATTATATTGTTAATTCAGACTGATTCGTGAACACGGAATGCGCAAGAACACAAGAGGTGGGATTTATCACATTATCCAATCACAGCCGATCACAACCAGTCATGTCCAATCATATCGCGATGGAGGCATTGCCTCCTCTCACGTGACTTTCCCTCATTCATTCTCAATTACCCCCCATGCTTTAGGGGGTCTGTTAAAACTCAATGGGCTCAGGGGAGGCGAGAGAGACGCAGCAGACTCACGTTGTAACTTTACCTGCTGGTGTCGCTGTTGGACGTTTTTTTTAGAAAAAAAAACGAGTGATTTACAGTACACACTTTTTAATGTTGTTTTGTAACAGTGGGGGTTTTATTTTTGAACAACGATTTTTGTTTCTCATCCAATATTTTGAGGAGACACTGCCTCCCTTACCTAGTATAATTATATAAGAATATGTAATTGTAAATATCACATAAATATCTAAAATTATATCAAAAAATATCAAAACAAATTCACATAAACAGATATACAATATGCATGCCTGGTGTGTGGGATAGGCAGATAGGAGATGAGAAATATTTATTTAAACACTTGTTGTGTTTGTTTTGACAGATGACAGAGCAGAGGAAACAGAAACAGAGGATCGGGCTACTGGGACACCCCCAACACATGAACGTGAACCCCCAGCAGCCCGCCTGAACCTCCGTTCCACCGGCCAAGTGTCCTACAGCTGTCTCCTGCAGCCATCGATCGCATCAGCCTTTCCGTGTGCGTGTGTATGAGCGTGTGCGTGTCAAGACATCACAGACACATCATCACCACAACCTGCTGTGTACACCCAAAATAAATGGCTGTAGGCCACCAGGAAAGTATAAAAGACTTTCACCCCGTTCCTCACATCCATTTGAGTGCCAAATGTTTCTGTGTGTTAAAGAGGAAGTGAATTTGCATCACTCTTCCACAGAGTGACAACAAGCTACACTAGATACTGCACGACTTACGAACATGTGCTGCAGCCTGTAGATGCTGCTTGGACACACATCTTTTTGTATTGACCCATAGCAGTCAGTATTTGATGTCTTATTTTTGTATTTTGTGCAATATTAATACTTTAATATGCAACATCTGTATATTATGTCTTAAAGGGACGGTGCAGTAATTTATTTTTCTTTTGTTCTTTTGCTTTGATTATAATGAAATACATTAGAGACCAGGTATTGTAGGAATACTGTTAGCAAAGTGAAGTTTGACATCAGATATGATATGTATATGGGGGAAAAAACGCCTTTTTTGTATTTAAGTTCATTTATTTATATCAACATATATTTTAAAAACGCTTATAGGAGATTATGCCAATTTAGAATTCTTTAATTCTCATGAATAGTATCAGGTTCTGTTTGGTATTTAGGAGCTCCTTATTATGGTTTATGGCTTTTTGTTTGTGCAGTCAGATTTATGACCTTAGAAGTCATATACAGAGTAATAATAGATGAAGTAGATGTTTAGGCAGTTAAGATTGATTTTTGTCTTAAAATTAATGCACTAAAATAATTGAACTTGTATCAATCTTGTCATTATAGAGCCATGTTTACTGTGCCTGTTGTATACTCCTGCAACTCAGAAGGTGAAGCGCAGGAGGAATATTTGCTGACAAAAGCAATCTTTGTCAAGTTTTCGTCTGTAGTCAGTCACATTTTTCTAGACAGTTTCATCTTTTAGCTGAGCAAAGCAAGCCAGTTTCTTAATACTATCCATTTTTTTCTTTATTTATTTTGTTTTTCTTGTAATACATGTATATATGTTTGCAGGTCTTTGCTTTTATATAGAGAGATATGGTTTCATAGCATCCTAATAATTAACAGCACTGTTAATGAGAAATAAGCCTACTACTGATTTAATAGGTGTATATATATATATATATATATATATATATACACACACACATGATACATATATACATACATACACACATATATATATATATATATATATATGAGACTGTAAATTACTTTAGTGATATTTAATAAAATATGTATTTCTCGTTCAAAGGACCAGAACTGAAATATAGTTTTTGTATGTCTCTTTTTGTGGTTTAAATGGATGTATTTTGACAGTGAAAAAGGGGACATCAGCGTTAAATATCCATAATTCTGCTTCTTGTTTTACATCATTTATTTTATTTTGTTCATTAGCTGGTATTCTGTATAATAGTAAGTACCCACACACAATGTGTTAATTTCAGCGGTACGAAAACATATGTGCGTTTATATGTGTAGATTGATGACTGCATCATTTCACAGCTTTCTCATGACTTGACATTGTATTCACCCGGTCAATGCAAAGGAAGTTGAGCTTATTAAGAATTCAAGATTAATAAGAGCCGGCAACCCATGCTTCTCTAAGGAAATGGACTTTCTGTGACCTTTCATGTCGATCTGCAAAAAAGGAGAAAAAAAAGCTGTTTTCCACGCACTGGCAAAGCCTGTATTTATGTGCTTGTGAGTCGTAGACAGAGCAGCTTTGTATAGTAACAGAGGTCAGACTGGAGAGTCCCAAATCGATTTCAAAGTAAAACACTGTGGTATAACTTCGCTGTTGTCTGTAAAAAAGAGCAGAAGTGTGACTGAAGTGTCAGACGCACCTTAAATGCTTAATTATTGATACCTGGCAACATCGTCAGAAGTATTGCTCTAAAATCCCCGTGTAAAGTGCAACATCAGACTGAAACCTTCCACGAGTTAAATGACATTTGGGAAATAAAATTAACCGGTGCAAAGGCAGAAGAAGGAAATTATGACTGGGAACCATCGGTTTAGTAAGAAATAGGACATTCTTGAAGTTTTAATATGTCCAGGGTGGGTCTGTGAGTGCCACTTTCTCTCTGTGCTTTTAGTAAGCTTATTATAAAGTTAATGTTAGAGCTATTTCAACAGTGAGCCTCAGGACATCGTGCACACTTTCTCATTTAACCGGCAAGGTATGAGCACGATGAGCTATTAGTAATTTTTACACTTAGAGAGAGTGAGAGTACTTTGTGAGTGGTACTGTATGTTCGTCACATTTTGTTCAAATGTTCTAACCAGGCTCGTTTATAAAGAACAATTAAAGGGACAATTAGATGATTATTGCGCCGTGTCAAACTGACCCTAATTGGATACAATACAATTCACTAAAAATCACATTTTGGAGGAAAAAAAATAAATAAAAAACAAAACTTTAAACTTCCAAAACTTCAATACTTCTCACACATAAAAAAAAAAAAAGTATGAACATATGATTTTTTAAAAGCTGTATTTAACGACCTTTTAAACATTTGTTTTTCACAAAATGCAAACATTATACAAAGTGTTTTGCATATATTTTTCAAATTTTAAATTGACATGTTTTTGTGCATTTCTGAATATATATATATATATATTCTTGCCTTCTTGGTCCTTAATATGGTTAATGAAAAAGAGCATTTACATTCACACTAATGAGCAATCTGAACTTTATATATGCTACTTGCAAAAACAGTTTTAAAAAATACTTTTGCTATTTTAACTACTTGTATGTATAAAATGCAAATGATGGACATTAATGTAAAGTGTTTCTGAAATGCATTGTCCCGTTTACATTTTTACAGCATTCCTATTCTTAAAGCAATAATAACACACCTACATTTAATATTAGGTTAACATATTTGCAGTCAAATAAGGGGACTTTCCTTAAACGAAGAAAACAGCCTGTGAAACTGAATTGGCATTGGGACAGCAAGCTGTTTAAGACTAAACCAACCAAACCGTTCTGTTATCACATGACCTATTAAAATTCTTGTTCCACTTATGTAATAAAAGCGACTATTATAAGGTCCAACTGTGAAATTAACCACTTAAAACACGTTGCATTTGTAGTTTATTGCATTAGCTTTTTAGGGTCATGGTGGGCTGTTCCATTATGTGTTTTTCTTCTCAGACTATGACTGCCAGTTCCAAGTACTATCTGCATATTAAGCACAGGTTTATATTTCTCAGAATTCACACTAAAGTGTGAACCACAGTAAGCCTATATTACACCCAAAGCCTCAAGGACACATCACAAATCTGCTTGCATTCTGTATTAAGTGACTGAAAGGAAGTGTCTCATGCACTGGCTCGGTCCTCCGCCTGTGCTGAAGGATGCTTTGTCATCCTGTTGCTGCACTTAGAGAGATAAAAAAACAACAACAACTCCAACTTCTTTTCACCAGTTCTATCTGAATTTAAATTATTAACTATATTATATGAGCAGACCTCAAAACCTTAATGCGGCTGCTACCAGTGCAGAATTCAGAGGGTCACATTTTCCTTGCATAGCCTATATTCAATGTGTTCATTTAAAAAAATTGTAGGCTATTCTTATAAATAAATCAACTCATACATTCAAATGAATTAACTAATTATTTTATTTATTGTTAAATGAGTTATTTTAGTGAGAGAAAACAACCCAAAATCATTTACTAATTTTGTGCTGATTATAATATATTTGCATCGTAGGCATCACTGGGTTTCTTGTTGATATGGTAATTAATTTTAGCAGCATGTAATAGGCCTATTGTAACATGGACCTAGCAAAGTAAATCATGCTACATACTTATTTACACGTGGCAGCATTTCTAGACTCTTTAGAACTAAAAAAAATCTTGCCACATTTTATTTCTGACAGTCATTCTGCGCGTTATTTACAGTTAAACAGCGCGTGAAAGCACCGCTGCCGCCATTGGCACGTTTCTCCTCAGCGCGCTCGGCACTAAAATAAACGGGTGACGTCAGTCCCGGGGATTCAGCCGGTCCTCCGCCTCCGCCCTCTCCCTGCGCCGCCATGAGGAGTTCAACGTGACCGCCGCCGAGTACAACCGGCCACAACAAACCGAGCCGCAGCACGAGAGAGCCATGAGCGGCTGCACGTGGAGCGCCAAATGGTCCCGGTGTGAAGTAACGGCGCATCTGCTACTATTGTGTAACCATGACAACGGCTCGCTCGTGTGCCTGCATCATGTCAGGGGAATTTTGTTAATGAATACTTGCATTAGGCTATATCGATGGAGCAACAGGTGCTCTGCACATCATTCATTTGACATGCGTTTCTTTCTAGAAGCTTCTATCCACTGCACGCACACATTCAGACCCGCGTGCGTGTGTTTGTAAAGCAACATAATCCTTTATGCAAGCACAGCTCACATTGGTAGGGAAAATATTTGCTGGATTCGAGAGTAGGTCGAAAACTAAAATGTTAAAGTATGTGTTTAATTTTAAGTAATAATGTATACATCATTATAATTATACATACATGTATTTATATTTCACACACATAGGTCTAATTCTTTCAATTGTGTTGATCTGTCATAATAACGACGGTAAATAAATCGCAATTACCATCATAATTACGACAGTAAATAAATCTTTTTGTGCTGTTTTTGTTTTTGACGGTAGGGTAGTCTAGATCTACATCATAACATATGCTTTCAAGTCAATCCAGGATAAGGCGCTCACAACACGTTTCTGAGAAGAGCTGCTATTGTGCGCTGAGAGAGAGATAGAGATAGAGAGAGAGAGAGAGAGAGCAGCAGCATGGTGGGACACGGGACTCGGGAAGGCGGGCGGTCTGCTGTAAATGGGTTGAGCTCTGAAAGCGCCGTCACACACGTGAGGCTCATGTGACTGGAGCTCGAGACGTGTCTGCAGTCACAGGGTTTATTTAACACGTACTTCAAATCCACCCACATTCACTCATTTAACCAGCACCGGAGCCGATAAACGCCTCCTGCACCTCCACCTCACAACAACATCACTTCTGCGTCCTAGTTTTGAGACACCGTATCTGGAACCAAAACGACTTTATTCGAGGAAAACACGTGGACTTTTATGAGAGAGTAACGGATCTGCTTTTTATTTTTATATATTCGTATATATATATATTTTTTAATTAAATCTACCCTATTCTTACATCAGTAAGACATATTAATAGGGTAAAATGGAAAGGATTACCAGTGCTCAGCCTCCTCCAAGTATGGCCAAACACGCCTCGATGGATATCTCTGACATGCAAGGGTAAGTCAGTCTCCAGTTGTTGCGTATTTATGTCTCTGAAAGCTTTCCTGGGAGCTAGATCTCTTATTGGCTGTATTTTATTATATTTTATAGAATGGACTTTCCCATATATGTGTATAAACCCCGGCGGGGAATGAAGCGCAGCGAGGACAGCAAGGTACGAAATGCGCAATTACGCACAAATATGATTGCGCACTTTTACTTGCCACTTTTGTTTGATATAAGTCTCTTTTAATGTTTTAAACAAGATTTATAATG